ACACACACNACACACACACACACACACACACACACACACACACACACACACACACACACACACACACACACACACACACACACAGTTTGGGAAACTTTGGAAAGTCCCCAAAAGTTTCCCCTCTGCTCATTGGTCAGTTTTTGGGTTTCTGGCGTTCCCATTGGCCGCCTCGGTTGGCCCGCCTCTCCCTTCCCGAGGTGTGTGTGTGGATTGTGTGTGTGTGTGTGTGTGTGTGTGTGTGTGTGTGCCAGATATCAGTGATATTGTTCAGCTCCGGCTCCGGTGTTATGATGGATAAAACGAACAGTGTGTGTGTTTTCTTTGGCGAGCGCTCAGACAGAAAAGCGAGGGAGGCGGACTGGGAACATGTTAGCCGCCGCTTTGATAAATAACGTGTATGTTTCATAATCTGTTTCCACAAACGTTAGATTTAAACCAACACGCGGGACTTGCATTGACTCACATTCATGTTTCTGCAAACAAAACAAACCGAGAAGCTCCGTTTTTAAACCCAAACGCGACGCTTTCGGCTTTGAGAGGAACAAGCAAAAACAAACCGTGTGAACGTGAACATGAGCCGAGGCCGAGGGAGAACTTTGACTTTCGAAAAATAAATCAACAGAAGGGAAATTATCAGGCTCCAGTAGGCCAAACACACAGCTGGTTATCAGTCGTACAGGGTTTGTTTTTAAAATCCAGCTAAATAGAAGCGAAAGACGACCAAACTAGAACCACAAATATCTCGCAGGAAGGACGTGTAAGGAGAACAGCTGCTGCAGACGGCCTCAATATGTCCGCTAATAAACTTATCAATCCAACGGCCGCGGCATTGAAGGATGGGTATCTGCCTATAATTACGACTTTTCATTAAATTAATGTGTTGCAGACGCATTCTTACGACACTTTCAAGTTTATTCCTTCAGCTGCAAGCCTGCTGAGGTTCAGCAGCTTTGGAAATAAGTTAAAGACCAAGTAATTGAAGGGCTGGAAGGCTTCCTGCACTGGCTTCAGCTCTTTAATCAGTCTCTGTTTTGGGATTATCGCACCATATAAAGGCCAACAGAACAATAAAGCGGCTCTCAGGTGGCACGTGGTCCACCGAGAAGCTGCACCTCTCACATCGACGCTCGTCATCGACGGAAAAGGGTTCAAATGTCTCTAAAATCCCACAAAGGGGCCGAATAAGTGCTTCTAAAATGCATTTGTTCAAAAATAAATAAATAAAATGTGGCGCACAAGCTTACAAGTGGTGAAAAAACAACACTATGCGGTCATTGAACACTGCTTTTTATGGCCGTCGGTGTTAAAAAAGAAGCAAGAGGCAGCGTTTGTTCACTGCCAGAAATGGTGTTTTCATTTAAACTGCCTGCAAACAGCCGTTTCAGTCTTTCTGTGCTCACCATCTGCACGCCGAGCTCCACCGGATCGTCCACTCACAGATCTGCTGTCTTGAACTCATGAGACGTAAACTCAGATCTGTAATTAGTCGTCAGGTCACTCAGACGACTTTCTGTATTTACGTCCTCAGAGCAGAACAACCAGAGGTGGTGCTTGTTGTTTTTACCAGTGCACTGGGTCGAGGTGTTCTGGAGATCTGTTTGTAGCCACAGACCCTTAAATTCTGAATTACTACACGTAAACAGCCCGGCCGTTAAAGGAAAACGTTTGTAGCTCTGGCAGCCGCTTTTATTGGTGCCCACCAAAGTAATTGTGGAGATCTCAGAGGTCGCCCGACAGTAAAAGGTAACTACGGGTCGTAATGAGCTGCTCGCACAGTCGACCTGCTCGGTTGTTTTTCACGAGGGGGACCGTCTTTAACGACGGTCGCGACGAAATGAACTTTAGGGAGATAAAATCAGAACTTGAGAGACAATGGAAGAAAGAAGGAAAGACAAAGAGAGTGAGGAGGGCAGAGGGGAGTGGAGACGGAGCTTGGAAGGCGACTGGGCTGGAGGGAGTCGACTTTGCGGGGGAGTCGGTCAGCTCTCCCCTTCGTATCCCCATCAAAACTTGGCTGCCATTCAGGAATACACTCAGACTGTGTGTTCGAGCCTGTATTAATCACAATGTGGGGACTAAAAAAAAAACAACGGTGTCACGTGTTGGCTGAAGGTGAGGCGGTTTGTTCGAGGCTCGTTGAGGTTGCAGCGCCACCGGCTGAGTCTCCGGGGAGTGAATTACGAGTCGTCCCGCTTGGCGACGGAAACCTTCCTCATAGTGAGGATGCTCTCACGCGTTACGTTGACCTCCACATTTTCTCTGCGCTCTCCGTGACACGCACACTTCGCGGACTCCGCTACCCCCAGCAGGCCCGGCGGTGGGGCCGAGTGAAACCTAAGCGGAGAGCTCCACTCCCGGGGGACGTCGGGGCGTACAAGCCAGATTGAGGCCAGATGTTGCAGATGCAGGAGTGAGCCAACAGGACTAGGATCCATTTATAGGCTCAGCCCGCCTCGCTGCGCAACAATAGATTGATAATAACACGACCAGAGCCGCTGACGTCGGGGGAGGGGGGGGGGAGATTGGCATTGCTGCTCACATTGCGCAAGCGTTCTAATTCGAGGGTTCTGGACGGGCCGGTCTAAAAATAAAACCGCTTTGTAACCGTCCTACAAAGTTTACATATTCTAAGACACAAAGGGAACTCTGTGTACTCTGAGCTTCTGAAAGTGTTTAGTTTTCTAAATCAACTTCTGGTGCTGAAGTGCCAAAAACCTGCAGTTCCTCGAATGTCCACTAGGGGCTGCTTCCAAAAACGATCAATCCCAATAGACTTCCATATTAAAACGTCCAACTTTACGACAGAAATGAACATGTTTGCAGCCTGTTACAAAAAACAGTTGTGGTCTCTATAGCTAATTTGCTCGTTAATGAAAACTGTACAGGAGGTGATTGTTTACATAACTCAGCTGTTTAAATTGTATTAAGGCTTCAAATGATGCAATAACCTTCAGACGACTCAAACTCAAGTGTGATTATCTACAGTTCATCATCTAAACACTGACAACACTTAGAGGTGAACACTATTTATTGTATATACTTAAACTCCTAAGACGTTTATTTGATTATTTTATTAGTCCAAAGCTAATAAAAGAGCTTTAAAATATAAAAGCTTTTCTCATTTTGTCAAATTACAGAAAATATCTCATGAAATTACAGAAATTATTTTAATTTTTTTACATACTTATCCTAAAATAGCAGACCACAACTACATAAAGACCACATCAGTGCTGTTATTTGAAATAAAATTATGCATATTAGGAATTTAAAAACACATTGCTGTTATTTTATATATTTCCCCGCTGTGTTCAATTACAAAAAATTGCAGGAAAAAAATATTAAATTTCCATGCTAGCCAAAACTATAAAAAACATCCACATCAAAAATCTTTTCCAATTTTTAAAATTTTTTTTAAAAAGGAATTAAATTGTTTTGAGTGATATTTTACAGACTTTTCTGTTTTGTTGAACTACAGCTAATATGTAGTAAAATTCTAGAAAAGAAAAAGTAATTTACAAGTTGACTGTAAAAACAAAAAAACAAAAAAAAAAGTCCAAAACTAAAAAAAAAAACAAAAAAAAAAAGTCCACATTAAAATCTGTGTTTTTTAAAACAATAATTCTTTTGTTTTTTTTAAACAATGTGTGGCATCAAAATTCCACTCTGGTACTGTATTTAAATCAGCTATGTTACTGTATTTTTATGGTATTTTTTTAAACTTCCAGAGTAGATGTGTCGTCTGTTAACAAACTAATTAAACACCTAACAGCTCAAGAAAATTCCAATAGTGCCTTCAATCCATTCTGTTTAAAAGTAGGCCAATATACCAAATAATATACGTTCACTCACGGCGTGGCTGTTCTCCAGCTTTATGCGATATGTCAAACTTCAAGCCAAGGAAAGAACAATTAAGTGGAGGTTGTAGCGCACAAAGGTAATTGAAAACAGGTACGCTGATGCTTTCTAACCGCCGACAGACTCACAACTCCATTCTTTTGTTCCCACCAGTGTTTGAAGGTTAAGGGTCGATGCTGCGAGATAATTTAGAAAATTGGGCAACAGATGTGTTTCTTTCAGTCAGGCTTCATCGCACCTCATCATCTAACCTCAAATTTCTGTCCAACATACTTCATCCCTCGGCAGGGCGGCAGCCCCGACCAGAGAACCAGAACATCATGGTTTTGTTATGCAGCTCTGACAGAGACTAGAAAACCATCCGCCTCCAACAAAGTCCCGTTACTGAAGGTTATTCCCCTGAAATACTTCCCCACAAAGTGCTGCCAGCAGCAGTAAAACAGACAGGACTGACACCCTCAATAACAAATAAAATATCTGACTTTCTTCATCCATTGTGCCTCTAAACCCTCTCTTCCTGCCCTCCTGTCTCCCAGAGAAACCAGATGGATGCACCACACAGAACAATATCAAATATGTTGAAGTCTGGAAGCAAAGCAGATAAAAGAGAGGGAGGAGAACAGCTGTCAAACGTGGCCCTCCACCACCCTGACATCTTAACTTCATGTGGTGGGAGCTGGCATCAGTGGAAGAGCCTTTGAAGGGAAGATGAATTCACGGGTTTTCCCATGGGAAGACCTTCTCTGTTACGTAACAGGAGTCAGAATGTGTCCAGTTACTGGCGCTGCTCCGTCAGTGTCACGGAGCTTTAACATCATTTATCTCATCTTATGGTGAGTTTTAATAAAAGTCCTCTACGTGCCAGAATCCAGCTGTTCTGAGCCCGATTCAAAACGTGCTCTGTGATGTTTTTCTCGCTGTAAACGCGGAACCCTGATCCAGAGCGCAGATATGAGCGCTCACAATAAACTATGGACGCATATCTGTGTTGTTTCAGCGCACCAATGAAACAATCATCTCTCCTGCACAAACTCAAAGCTCTTGTTCTGCAGGCCGGTCCCGCCTCCTCCTCCTCCTCCTCCTCCTCCTGCTTGCAGGGGATGGGGAGGGTAGAAGTCAAGGAGTCAGCGCTCTGCCATTGTTCTTCCTCTGGAAGTCTGGGAGCGGAGCGGGACGGCGCTGGTCGTGGTACCGGACGGACGGCGGTCTGTCGTTATGACGGGCTCCGGTCCGAAGCTCGGGGTTCTGCTGCTGGTCGCGGTTCTGCTGCAGACTGTGGTCGTCACCATCACCGTGCTGCACTTCACCACCGCGCTCAACTCGGTAAGGAAAAGTTTTGAACTCGAGAACCGGAGGCGCGCGGAGGACTTTTACGCATTACGCACCGCGAGCCGTGCGCGAAGCCGCTCGGGTCGGTTTGTTTTAATGCAGCTGCGCCAAAGTGGCTTTTGTAGATGTTTTACTGTAAATCATTTGTGCAAACTGTAAAGTTCTGTGCAGAGTTTTTGTGCGACCTGGTTCTGCTGCACAAAGTCCACGTCTAGTCTCTTTTCTTTTTTTAAGCACGATGCAGTGAAGGCCACACATGCTGCTGAAGCCACTTTTACTCCATGCAGTTCCACACAAACCTTATTTTTTCTTTGCAAGGACAAGGAAGTAACGAGCAGAGGTGGACTGCAGCTACTTTTATGATTAGCTGTGATAATCAGGACGTGTGTGTTGTGTCTTTGCCTACCTGGATTCAGTCCAGTCCAACTCTCAGCTTGTGTTTACAGTAATTAATCATTAACCCAGATGAGATGCAGCAGCAGCAGCAGCAGCATGGAGGAAATGAAACCTAAACAGATGAAAAAGGCAAAGAAACACATTCCAGGAAATTATGTTGACTCAGGTTTTTTTTGAAGCAGCAACACACTTGAATTATCAGCCTGTAAAAAGTCAGTGTTCACGAGTAAACAAACCCTCATTACAGCTTTCACTGGCAAACAAAAGGAAGCAAACAGGACAATCAGGAATACCTGCGTCAGGAGCCTCCTTCAGCCTCGTCTGATTCTCTTCTGGCCGCTTTCACTTTGACAGATGAAGGAGACGTTCGCCCGAAGCAGTGTTTCGTGTCTGACGGGCGCCGACCTTCAGAGCATCACGGCCGTCCGAGGGGATCCGTGCTGGCAGGTCACCCAGCAGCTCCACCTGCTCATCGAGAAGGTGGGAAGAGGTCACTCAGTTCAGCACGCTTAGACTCACCTGCATGGCTTTCAGTTGAACTTTAGGCGTCAAACACTTAAAATTCCAGCATTCTGGTGAATCTTTTCTGCACCAATTTATGGAAATAAAAGCCTTAAAATTCAAATTCAACCCTCTGTTGACCTATAAAGTCTGAAAAAAAACATCACTTTTAAGCCTGACTGTGATGTTTCAGCACAGAATGAGACGCACACATCAGCATTAACGATTCTGAGATTTCAAAAACTTCCTGTTCAGTGCAGCCATTTGCACATTTTTTGCATCAATTTATGGCAATAAAACAACACATCTACGCCTCTATTGACCCAAAAAAGTCAGAAAAAACATCATTTTAAGCCTGACTGTGATGTTTCAGCACAGAATGAGACGCACACATCAGCATTAATGGTTCTGTGAAGAATTTGCACCTTTTTTGCATTGATTTATGGAAATAAAAACCAAATCTACACCTATGTTGACCTATAAAGTCTGTAAAAAACATCACTTTTAAGTCTGACTCTAATGTTCAAGCACAGAATGAGCCCCACGTATCAGCATTAATGATTCTGATTGTACATTCTGCTGCTGAGATTTCAAAACTTCCTGTTCAGTGCAGCGATTTGCACCATTTTTGCATCAATTTATGGCAGTAAAAAAACAAATCTACGCCACTTTTGAGCCAGACTGTAACGCTCCAGCACAGAATGAGCCTCACGTATCAGCATTAATGATTCTGATTATGCAGCCTGCTGCTGCGATTTCAAAACTTATTCTTTTTTCTTCCTCTGGCCTGTGCTGTATCAAAACTCCCCACCCACTGGATTTTGGAGACATTACTAATCCCCCCCACACACGTCAGCTGCAAAGGGTTGAAAAACGCCAACAAAGCAAAAGTTTAAAGAAGATTTAAAGTTATTTTTATGACACTTTGTCTTGTGTAACCAAACTTGCTCCAGCTGGGCGTTTTCCCTCGACGACGGCGCTCGAATTGAGCCACGGGGGGAATTTTTTTTTTTTTCATGAAAACTGGAGTAAAATTTAGAAAAAAACAAGGTGTATTGTTTAACCACATGGAATTTAAAGGCTTTGTTATCTAGAACCTCCTGATTCGGATCCACTGACAGCGAGAACATGTCGGCTTTATGTTCTTAAACTGAAACAGCAGGTCTGAAGTCGCCGTTATCATCATGTGGCGTCCAGTGAACATTAGCAGAAGAAAAATGCTGAAATGATCCAAATCACTGTCTGCAGACGCACAATGAGCTCCTTCATGGCAGGAGATGTGATGTGATCCTGGTGGTTTAAGCAGCACAGGAATGCATTCACCTGCTCTGCGCTCACACACACCAAACTCATTCATTTTCCTCCTACTTGCTATTTGTGCCTATTGTTTGTTTTCCTTCCCTTCTCCCCGGTTCTCCTCCTCCTCTGACTTCGCTGCTCTCTTAAATACCTCAAGTCATTTTTTTTCCTGACTCGGCCGGTTGATTAAATTTAGTCCGGAACATAAACACGATGCTGGGACAGACTGAGCATCGGTTTGTGCTTTCAACTCGGGAAGCAAAGCAAATTATCCTTCTGTGTCTACGTTTAAGCATTTCCTACATTTGTTTTGGTTGCATATTGTATTGCTGTTTGTTTCACACTCTGTTTAACAATCATAGCAGCAGAAGATGTTCTGTAGCTGCACTGTGAAGCTGCACATTGAGGCTTTAAGCTACATGCAGCATGCTAGCTACATGCATGATGCTAACACGCTGATGTGATGTTGGCATAAAGTCCACAGACTTTGGGTTAGCGTGTTAGCATGCTAACATCTGAACATTAGTGCCAATGGAAATGTGATTCATTTTGCAACTGTTTGGCCATAAAGCAGTTTAAAGAGCCAATCGAAATGAAGACAGGTGAGGTTCATGAGAGGAAACGTGAACGTATCACCACAACCAGGAACCCTCTGAGGAGCATCAGTGTCTGCAGAACATTTGAGGACAATCTGTCCAACAGTTTAGAAGATATCTTCAGGAGAAACTGCAGAAGCCGTGATTAGACACCACAGACGTGTAGTTGTTGTTGTTATTGGGACACCTTAAAGTGCAATTCATACTTTCTACGTCCACGAGGCTCTACAGTGC